CGTGTTGGACGAATCAGTTGCAGACTGGAAGCTGTTTCAGGCCAAGCTGGCAGAGTACAAGGCACAAGTGGCAGCAGCAGAGGCGAAAAACAACTCAGCTGTGTCTGTGATGTCTCGTGCCGACTCACGAGGACACGGAGCCATGTCTGATGTCTCGAGCGGAGCCATGTCGCCATGTCTGTCTCACCCGTCGTAGGCGAAAGAAGAGGATCCACCCGAACCGCCAGAGGGTCTGGTCGTCGATGAAACGGAGGAAAAAGAATCTGATCGCGTGAAGGCGGGATCGCTCCCTGGCGGTGCAGAGGGTTTTCTTGATTTCGTGAACGTGGCACTCCGCTTCCTGACAGCAGCGAAATCTTTGCTGGTTTCATGGCCATAGCTCTTCGGCGACATGGTGTAGCATGGTGTAGCATTGGTGGGACGAATGAGCCATGCTTTCTGCCTCTCCAGGCACGTTTTCTGGAGACCAAGTCTGCACAGCAACAGGACTGAACCTGATGCTGAAGAGTTCACCATGTTGCAGTCATGTCCACTGCAGTCAAGTAAGGTCATGCAGTCATGCCTTCTGGATACACACTTATATCCTCCATGCTCGCAAGAGCTCTATCAGTTAGATCCACCGATGCATTAGCACTTGACACACCCACACACACACACACTCTTGCCACACAGCTCAGTTCAGCTATGACAGCGCCCAGTATGTAATTTCGGTTGAGTTCTGAGTTCTGAGTGCCCATTTCACGAACTATACTCAAGTCTAGATCCGCTGCAAAATTGCATTGGTTTCTCAATTTCTAAAGAATTGTCATTGCATCTTCCTTGTAAACACTTGCTGTGGAGGAGCCGCGGGGGTGTTTTTGCATTCAGTTCGTCCCTTGTTGATTTTGACATCCTAAACAGGCCTTGAAGGATCTGATGGAGGTTTTCCAAGCTGCGCGCGCACCCATACAGAAGGTAGGCTCCTCGGGAGCCGGTGGGCTGTGTCCAACCTGCAACAGATCCAACTTCAAGGTTTGACATCAACTGATTTGTGAAAAGAGAAGTAGAAACGACCTTTCCTTCCAGAAACTTACTCAACTTGCAATCTGCAGGCTTGGCGCTTATGTCTATCACGGGGTCAAAAGGAATCTCTTGCTTTGAACACGACTCTACAAAACCAGCTGCATTTCTTTTCAGCACAGAGAAGGGAGATGTTCCATTGTCGACCAGCCTTTTGCAACTAGTAACTAGTCCTTGATCAGTGGACACGTCAAACCTGAAGAACTGCAGTGTGAGCGCAAGAAAAAATAAGACCTTCGCATGGGATTTCGATCACCTTACCCTCGAGGTCTCCTCAGATCGAGGTGATGGACCTACACACAAGGCCATCAGGCGCACAGCCTTGGAAAAAGAAACACCCCGGTCGGCCCCCCGACATCGGTTCGTGGTTCGTGGGGCTGTCTGAGAAGGTGGGAAGAAGGCAAGTGCAAACTTTTTTCCATGTCCAGTTTGTTGAGTCGGAGGCGAACACAAAAACATGTTGAGAGACAGCACAGTTCAACGCTCATGGTCTATGGATCCACGGTGAAGACTGCCATAAAAAGCCGAGGCGGCTATACTAAGTGGATGTAGCAAAATTAACGACGTGTGCTTTACAATTGTTTTGAATATACACAGCATCTTGCTCTTGATAGATAAATACCCTCTTTGTGTCATTTTCGCAGAAGGTTCCCCTTTTCCGAGACGCGGACACGTGAATTCTTTGCTCCGCAGGTTTCATTGCCGCCCCTTCATGGAGCAGCGAAGTAGCATGTTGCTGCGACACCAGGTGACAAAGGCGCCTTTCGAGGGAAATGACAACTGGAAACTGCAAGGAGCTTTTTTTTCGGATTCTTTGGAACCAACCATTTCGCCTGACCCAAATTCGCAACTGAATTCGACCACAATCAGCGGTTTCTTTGGCCTTTGTGTCTCGTCGCTGCCAGGTGTCTCCCATGAAGGCTGCCGACCAGCTGCGGAGAGGCGACCAGTTCTCAAACATCCCACCGTTGTTTTTTGAAGTAAAGAATGTTGCTAAGATTTCAACACTGAGTCTGCTATAGTCTGCTTATTCAGTGCCACTTGGGTCTGTTATTGATCAGTTGAAAAGAAGTCACGTTGATGGCTAAAACCTCCTGACCCTTGTGACTTGTTCCGTTTCAGACGCTGTGCCAAGAGACCGGTAGCCCCAGTTCACGCGGCTCCCGTTCAGCGGCGGCCTGCAGGATTGATTCGACCTTCACGCTTTGGACGCGCGAGTCCCATGTCGCTGGACCGCCCTTGGTGCTTCGTGCGAAGTATGTTTGTCACGGAGCCTGCGGCAGTGACGGAAGGTTCCTTTGCCAGCTGTATTCACACTGCTTCGCTGTCGAAGCCGCCCGCACAGAGTAAAGGGAATAAAGGGAAAACACACACACACACACACACACATACAGACATAGACATCCATCCATGCATACAGACACACACACATGCAGACAGACATGGGAAAAGTGTGTCATTAGCACCCTACCGGCTCCGCAGCAACCTGCGCTACTAGCAACTTGTGCTCTCAGGCTCAAGCGTATCGGTCGGGCAGAAGACACGGATGAACACACGCACGATGTCAATTGTCTGTCTCGTCTGGCCGTTTCGATCTGTTGGTCTCCGTCGGTCTCTCTCGACCGTTCTGTTTTATTTTAGTCTGTCAGTCTGTGACCACGATGTCGGTAATGCCATGTGCACCGGCCGGCATAGCCGGCATCGCCAACGTTTGGTCCAATTTTTTGTGACTTTTCAACACACACTGCAAAGCACAGCACTTCGTATCCGAAAATGGTCCCCCCCCTCAAGCTAAAGCTTAAGATTGGATCTAGCCAAGCCGATTTCTCCCGAGCCTCCATAACGCCCTCGGCACCTTCGGTGCGGGCGGGCTTGGCGGCGCAAGTACTGAACGCTGAAAGGTTGCGACCCCGTTGGCTTGGACGATCAATTAGTAGTCGACGCTCCAAGATGATGTTGGACTTGGACTTGTAGGCAACGCATCCGTTACCTTAACAGTGTGGGAGGTCTTGAGTCAAGAGCACGTGTTTCCGATGTTTCTTCAAACAGCTTTGCTGTGAGGGATTCTCAATTCTTGCATAGGAACGAGCCTGGGCCAAGATGATTTCTGGCCTCTTTTTGTATCCTTTTGTGTCTCCCTTTGTCTCCGATGGCTCTTCTGGATGCTGCACAAAGATGCCATAACGCCCGCGATATTTAGGGTTTCTCATTGGTTTGAGTCCGCATACATACATACATACATACATGCATACATACATACATACATACATACATGCAACCCACCGAAGACATTTACGACATTGGTATACTGTACTATGCATGCACGAACATGCATACAAAACACACCTGGTGGGTTGACATGGAGGGTGGGGGTGGGGTGGGACTGGGATAGTAGCGCACCTGTCGCGTTGCGTTCTTCATACGTATTTGTCTCACGCGGGTCACACTTACGTTTACCTTCCATGCATGTTCGTTTGCATACCACACGCACAGACACATGAGGTGTGCGGGAGACTAATATCCGCAGTGTCATGGCTCGCAGTCTTTTTCTTGCTGTTTCTTGTCGCAGTGTTACGGCTCACACGGTTATAGCGTGCATACAAGAAGATTGCTGTAGCCTCACTTCATGGACATGTTCCTGGCGGGTCCAACCAGCCCACTTCGCTTCGTGGCGACCGTCCACGCACAAAGGTACCGTATGCTTGAATCTGTGGAAGCTCATAAGCGATCTGTGCCGAAAGCAGCCCTTAAAAAAGAGGGCCTCCGTTCTGTCTTCGCCTTGTAGTCGATCAAACACGAATCAAACAAAACAACACCTCTTCGAGAAACCTCTTGACACTGTGATTCCTGTTAAGATGTTACCCCAAAACTGCGACCATCGCGAAGATACCTTAACAAACGCAAATGTCCCAAGCGAAACGCACCATTCAACAAAAGTCAGGTAAATCACATACGAAGCCAACATACCAAAAAGCAAAAGCGATGCGAACCCTGCATTTTGTGCAAATCTCATTTCTTGGATGCTGGGCTGGGACGATTCTACTTTGTCTGCCTCTGTCTCCCAAGGGTCTTCTTCTTGGGTGTTCAACCCCAAATCTTTAATTTTTATTTTGAATTGCGAATGACCTGGCTTAACCGGTGTGCTTTTTGCTCACTGTGGTCGGGCACCGCAAGCCAACTTAGCAAAAACGAAACACCAAGCTGCCGCTTTTTTGGGGTCGACGGAGAATCCGACGGGACCGGGTCGTGGCTAACATCAGCCTCAGCCAGGACATGCCCAAGTTTCCGGTTCAGCTCAGTGCCGTCGGGACCCAAGCGACGATGCGGAACGGAACTTGAAATAGATCTTGATGGAACACATGTTTCTCTTTCCGCGTCCAACGCAAACGGAATCCCGCAAGCCCCAGGTCCTGCATGGACGGATTTACTATCCGGACAGTGATGTAGAGTGGGGAGCTCAGAAGTCAAAAGTGTTAAGAAGGCCAAGAGGGATGACCATGACTGATCTGCCAGACCATTCTTCCAAAGATCTTCGGCTTCCCCCAAAGAGTATTTTCACTGAAGTTCAGCAGCAGTGTGAACATGTCTGAATGTTGTGGTACTGAACAGGCCTTGGCTTCTTTGGACTTGTCAAGCTTTGGGCCTTTTTGTTTCTATTTCTTCCCGAACACATTCCGATTTGAGGTTGGTGCAATTCATGGAGCATCCAGCGCAGTTCCTGAAGAACCCAGGCGAACGGCGCAGGGAAAGACGCAGGACAACGCAGATGAGCTAGGAATTGGCCCACATGAGCGTGGCCAAGAGTTGGGTGATTCAACATGCTTCGACCTCAATAGACTGCCCGTTCGCTACCTAGCTACCAACTCATAGAAGTAGCTACGTGAGGCCACCTGGGCAAGTCAAAGATACTGACCACCATTTCCCAAAAAAGTCCAAGGGTTGACTGCTCTTCCCATCACCAATGTAGCGCTGGTATTTTCTGGTTCTGTGGCGCAGAGGATTTCAGAGGTATGGTTTTCGCGTATTCCCGTCCGCAGCAGTTGTCTAGCAAGATGGCCCTTAGCCATGCTCGCGGGGCGGCAGATACTCTGTCTTTTGCATCCCGCTATGCTGCCTTGCAGCGGGTGTGACTTGGCCGGTTATACTACAGCCAAGAAATGTCGGGATTCTGAGAAAGGACATGCCCCCGTCTGCTTTGGCCTTGTGTTTGTGACCATTCATCACCAACTTTTCTGGCACTTTGCCAGAGTCCCGAGTATGCTTTTAGGATCTTTTATGGGTATTTACCCCTTCCCTCCTGCAGTCCTTTCGCATTTTGACAATTTTGCCATATTACTGCCCAAACTGTAGCGACGTCACCTCGCGATTCGACCAAAAAAACTATGTGAAATAAGGGCAATGCCCAGTTCTTTTTTGCAGCTAGCTACCACCAACATTTGCGTTGACCAGCGGTTCCACCTACCACTTTCAATTTCCTGCATCGTCAAACAACCACTTGAAATAGGTTGAAGATGATGTTCCTTGTAGAAGTGGTCTTTCGAAGTCCAAGTCTTTTGAGGCCACAGATTTCGATCAAGAAGTGATGTTCCAAAGAAGCGTTGAATCGGGATGTTGTATGAAATTTGATGTTTTCAACACCGCCAACTTTGCCAACTTCGGCAATTCACCAAGGAGAATCCCTGTGTTGACTCAAAGGAGTTCCTGGGATTTCAAGATGGGGTAGGTTCAAAAAAGAATCTCAAAAGGTAATCGTTTTGTCTCGCTCTTCACTCCTCGAGAAGCGACGCAGCTTCGACGACGTAAACATATAAGACATTTGGTGACGGTCGCTGGTTCGAGGACGGTCGCCTGAGAACAGCTCTGTCAAAGCGAGCCCCTTTTCCCGATAGCATCGATCCAATGCTCTGGTTCTTTTTCCAAAGGATCCCTGCCGCGCTCAGTGTGGATGCCAGAATACCTTTCGAACGCAGCCAGCTTTTTGGAGGACGATGCTAACGGCTAACCTGCTGGATGTCATAGATTGCAGTATATCCTGGAGAAGAAAGAAGGCTTTCGGAGGATGATGCTAACGCCCTGCATGTCGTAATACCTGGTCTCGCAGGAGGCCGAGGATCAGCCGACGATCTGCACGGGTTTGCGGGTGGGATGCGTGGGGTCGATGCAAAACTCGCTGGATGTTGTAATGCTTTGCGTCGCGGGCTTGGGGGAAGGGTACGATCAGAGCAAGCGATCTATCAGTGACGATCTGAGGGCGGATGGCAGAATATCTCTTCGAGGCTTTTGTCGAGCCGGGCCCGAGGGTGGATCTAAATGCAGACGGCGCGCCCCGCTGACACGGACGTAGCCTTGCAGCTCGGGCGCGGGAGATGTGTTTGGCCGGTCATTCTTGGCCGAACGGGATTGTCGGACCATTGACTGCTCTGATGTCAACAGAAAATAGCTCTGGATTGGAGGGTTTCGCTGTGCCTTAGGCAAAGCCCTGTGGTGGTGCCACTTGCACTGGCGCTATAGTTACAGAAGAGAGAGAAAATGGCAGCTACCACAAAATAGACTGCAATCAGTTCTCAGAGATCTTAGAGCCAGGTGGCAAATTTCTGTTGGACACCTTTTGTGTGGTCTAAAGAACATTCTATATGTGTTTCTCGTTTCTTTCTTGCGGTAGTAGCTGACACCGCTGCAGGCAGATTCGCGGCAAATTTGGACTTGAAGGTTCATGCTGTGCGCGTGCCTAACGTAGCTCTTGACCCTTGACTGTATGCTAGCGCGCAGGATCAGCTGAAGGAACCTGCGCGCTAGACGCGTGCTTCTATGCAGGCAGGCGGTTCCTTCATAGGCACGAAGTACCTCAAACCCAGGGAAAAGAGCGCCCAGGACACTTGGATGTAGACAGATGGCCTCAAGTTGGTGAAATCACAGAATGCGACCATTGTGAAGATCCTGCCGGCGCCGCCGGCCATACGAAGAGAGGCGGAGGCCGAGAGGCAGCAGTATTGCACTAGTGGCAGATGAGGACAAGGTACGATACGGAGAGGGGTAAGGGTCCAGAATGGAAAGGACGAAAGTGTTTATTGCCTATCCACTCGTTGTGGCCCGGAGTGAGCCGACACACAGCCTGGCGCGAGTGTGTTTGGTGCAGTGGGCGTGCGTGCGTATACATTTTACGGATGTAGGTTGCTGCTACACTAGTAGCTGTGTTACCATGTTTCATATGAAATCTAAAGCTAGAATGCTCAATGCTTGCCATCAAAAGCGTCATGCATTCTTGCGCTTGCTGGTACCGAGTCCTTCAAGACCCAGTGTGCCAGATTTCTACCTAGCCATGGGATCTTTGAAGCAAAAGAAGCTGCCCCGTGCTTTTAGTGGACTTCGAACTTTGGCATGTTCATGTCCTTGGTCTCTTTGTGCTGGGCGGTCAGACAGCTCAGTTTGTAGCTGCGTGTTTGGCCAACTGTTCTCAGAAGGGTTGGCTCTTTCGCCGGGTCTGGAGGGGGCGGATGTTCGAGATGTCAAAGCGAAGCAGATGTCGGTCAGGTTCAACGATCAACTTCGAGAGTGGCATTGGCAGCGAAAAGGGGGCACATTCTTCCAAATTTGGCAACCGCCAGGCTGGATCTGACACGCGAAAGGAAAGCCCAAGGAGGCTCATCAGTTGAAGAGTCAACAAAACTTCCTTGTTTGTGAGCCAGTGCCAGGTGTGATCTTCAGCTGCTTGCAGAAGGATCATCATTTGCATGGGCAGAGGGTCCCAGCCTGGGAATCATGGGGATTCAACGATCCGAAGGCCCGGTGTTTGTGTAGTTTCTGAGAGAGGAAGGCCTCGCAGGACAGTGCAGAAAGACATTTGGGTTGAAGATCCCGCATGCTTAGAGGAAAGGAACATTTTGGGCTGCGGCGCGAAAAAATCATAGGACAATGGGGGCAAAAAATCGGTGAGGGGCAATCTACACTGTCTTTGAAAACTAGGCATTTTTGGGAACAACTGTGTCAAATGTGTAGATTCGGAGTATTATGTCCATTTGAGCTTGGTTGTTGCCCATCTTGTCATCGCTTTGAAAAAAATCAATGGGGTTGAGCATGTCGAGTGTGAACAAAGCACAGCAAACCAAGGAACCAACCAACCGAAAGACGAACAAACACTTCAAACCCACAATAGAATCCCTGTCCCCAGTCTTGCCTTTCCAAGCCAGGTCCCCACACGCTTGGTGCTCCGAGCTCTTGGCGGTCGATGGGTGAGCTGGAAGGCCATGCAACGCCGCCAGGTTCGGGCATGGCATCTTGTGACAACCCGGATGAACAAGGTGTGACGCACGTGGGAAATACCCGGATGAACCTTTTCTAGTAGATAGACTTGACACCCGGTTGTTGTGGTATGAGGCTGTTGGTGTTGCTGAACAAGATGGTGCCGTCTCTGGAATTTCCTACTTCTAAGGGCAAAGTGTAGAGTACTTATTGGGGCAAAGTGTAGAGTACTTATTGGGGCACACGTAATCGACACTCAGTGTCCGAGCTGTAAGAGACGTTCTTTGTTGGCAACAATCTAAGATTGGTTTCGAGGGAATATTTGTTGGGTTCCAACTGTTCCAACTTGTTAAAACAAAACACTATGTATTTGCCCACGTAATCACTTCCAGGAGAGATGGGTCATTGCAGATAGCAACGATGGGCATCTATTCAATGCTTTTGTTCGTGCCATGGATTTCTATGGCACCTTTGCTCAAAATAGCCGAGCTACCTTGTTGCTGACGCTGAAGCCATAGGCTCTTGTGTTTTTCGGCGTTCGAGGTATCGATGCCAAGGACCCAGAGAGCAGCTTTCCTAATATCAGGCCTGCCAGCATTCCGGACTCCGAAAAAACAATGAAACACTCGCAAAACACCGGCCAGCCATAGTTCTTGTGACCGTGGTCTCTAATTAACGTGTGCCATGGAAGCTGGCTTTGGAGTCCAAATCTGCAAGAAAAACAAGACATTACTTGTATGAAAGTCGCGTCCTGTGCGTCTGCTCTCAAGTACTGCCTTCTTACAAGTGAGCTTTACAATTAGCATTTTCTTTTGGGCCCTTGCAGCACACACTGCCTTGGAACGAGGTTGCTGTATGCACATGCCCGCTCTGCACTGGCATTTTTTCCAAAGCAATCTCTTCGTAGCAACTTGTCATGTGGTTAATTTCGTTTTGTCAGCTTAGACAAAACTGATGCTGTACAAACCTAGAAGTCACTCCCTTTTACAGGCCCAGCTGGTTTCTCAAAGTGTGGCAGCAGATTTCATGTATAAGTTTTGCTACCTACCGCTGCAGTCGAATTTCGACTGCTAGCCGGTGACAACAACTAAAACTTCCAGCCCTTTTCATAGTCACTCTCTAGACCCTTCGATCTGTTGGTATTTTTTCGTAGGAAGAGTCTGTCTTGTGAGAGGTTCTGGGATGTCTGCCTCAGTTTGCACCAATTCTAGCTGCATCAGACCTAAAAAGAACACCAGGCCTTCAAGAGAGTGCCTCCAAATTTCATTCAGCAACCATGCTTCACCACATGCCAGATTTTGGTGTTTTCTTTTTTTTTTTTGTGTGTGTGTGTTCTCAGGTTTGTAGGGTTCCGGAGTCCCTGACACTTGCCGGCACAAGGTCTACATATTCACTTCCCATGGGCCCAACGAAGCTCTGCACCACGTCGCGCTGCCATGGTCAATCTCCAGGTCCCTCGGTTCAGCATCTTCGGTCAATTTTTGCATCCGCTCTTCGGTCAATCCAAGACCTTGACAGAGAGCAAGATGGAGCCCAGGAACCCGAATGCAAACACGTTCGAACAGCTACATATGTCCAAATGACACTCTTGTAGGGCACTCTTGTGGGACACTATTGCAGGACACTCTTGTAGGACATTCTTGTGGGACACTCTTACAGGACACGCTTGTGGGACACTCCTACGCAACACTCTTGTAGGACACGCGGGACACTCTTGTGGGACACTCTTGTGAGACACTCTTGTAGGACACTCTTGTGGGTCACTCTTGTGGGTCACTCTTGTGGGACACTCTTGTGGGACACTCTTGTAGGAAACTCTTGTGGGACACTCTTGTAGGACACTCTTGTAAGACACTCTTTATATAGGACACGCTTGTGGGGTGAAACACTCTTGTAGGACACTCTTGTGGGTCACTCTTGTAGGAAACTCTTGCAGGGCATTCTTTTGGGACACTGTTGTAGGACACTCTTGTGGGTCTCTAGCTGAGACTTGTCACGAAAACAGATCTTCGATGCGACGTCCTGAAACGCAAATCCCAAAGGCACGGCCACATCCAACACCCCAAAAACACCACTCTCCAAACGCCAAAACAATGGAAATGCGCAGAAAACTGCGGATCTCACAAAACGCTGCGCCTGCGCAGTGAACATAACCTCCACACTATACATTTCCACACGTTTCCACGCTATTTCACACGAATCTGACACGTCGCGTTTTCATCTGAAACCCTCTCCAAAAGCTTGCCCCAATGGCAGCGCCTTAGCGCCCCACTGCGAACGGCTGCGGACGGTTGCGGACGCCTTCGCTACGCACTCGGGAAAAAACATCTGTTCATGTCTTGTCCAGTTATCAGGCCTGCCAGGTCTAGGCAGCTAAGCCGTAGGTTCAATAAACAGGTTGTCTTTGGCACAGTCTGGGGAAAATTCATCTTTTTCCTGTTCTTACTGCTATGGACACGTATCGCAACGGAAGATGAAGCATTGCTGCACGAATGAGGAGTTTGCTTTGTGTCCAAAACGCCGTGATTTTCGCAGTGGAGCTTGTTTGTGACACTCCAACGATTTGTTGGAACGGTTGTTGGAACAGGGGACTTGGGGGATACAGAGATTTCTTGCAGGGGTCTCATTATGTGCGTTTCTCAGTTACATCAAGAACTGGTGTTTCTTTACCAAAGAGGGGTTTGACCAACGGACGCCTGTTTTAATGGTGTATAGCTGCAGTGCAGCGCGCTTTGCGCCAGCTCCTGCTGGATGCTTGCAGCATCCTAGAGCCCAGAGGAGAGCTTCACATTGTGTCTCGGCAGACCTTGCGACATGGCATGGTACACCTCCAGATGAAGAGGTTACGAAAGCCAGCCGATAGGCTAGGCTGAAGTTAGTGCGGCGAATGAAGTTCGTCGTTAGGGGATGAGGAGACCGGGTGATTTTTGGTGGCTTGGTGATGCGAACGATGCAACGTGATGATGTATTGCATTACTAGCATCACTGCTACACGAGAGTAGTACACATGGCTAGTCAAAAGCAAGCCTATTCATATGTGAACATGGCTGAAAGAACTAATATATCAATATATAGAACATGCCTCGTACCAGTCACTCGCGGGGACTAGCCTATGATCCCCCAAGACCACTGCTTTCAGTTTCAATACTTCCGACTATCTTTGTGTTGGATCATCTAAGCTATACGGATTTAAACGCTTACGCCTAGGAGCGGGCTGGGCAGGTGATGCGTCAGGTGCTACCTTGTAGAGGTCCTCTGTCTCTTTCCCTTTCTCTTCCTCTTTCTCGCTTGCCCCTTTTCCCTGTCTCTTTTTTTCTTTCTCTGGAAGAGGAAGAGAGGAAGAGCAAGCAGAAGCACAAAGTGCTAATAGTGCAAGGCCGCTCGGGCAGCATATCTCGCACCGCAGGCGTTTGAAAGCAACCTCGCAGCCATCAACATATCCATCCTGAAATCCATCTTGCATCCTTTCTACAAAAATACATCCGTCCACGCTCTCCCCAGTGGCCTGAGAGGCGTATAGCGACACGTGGCCCTATCATCTATTGGAAGTGGAGTCAGTCGTTCCACGCTACCTGTGCTCTATCGCAGGCACCTGGAACCTCGCAGGCCATTGGGGAGAGCGTGGACAGATGCGTCTTTTCGAAACGATGCGTGCTGGTAGCCTCAACATAGCTCCAAGATAGTTGTTTTCAAAGGCCTGTTGTGCGAAGTGGCCTTGCATTATTAGCCTTTTTGTTCTTCTGCTTGGTCTTCTGCTCTTCCTCTTCCAGAAAAAACAGGAAAGGGAAAAAAGAAGAGAAAGAAAAAAAGGAAGAGAAAGAGAGAGGAAGAGAAAGAGGACGAGAAGGCGGAAGAGCAAGAGAAAGAGGAAGAGAAAGAGGAAGAGAAAGAGAAAGATAAAGAGGAAGAGAAAGTGAAAGGTGGAGAGAGAGAGAGAGAGAAGGAAGAGACAGAGAAAGAGTCAGCGGACGAGGAAGAGAGGAAGAGAAAGAGCAAGAAAGAGAAAGGTAGGAGGAAGAGAAAGACAGAGAGGAAGAAAGAGAGAGAGAGAGAGAGAGAAAGGGAAAGATAAAGAGAAAGAGAAAGATAAATTCAGAAAAGATAAAAGAGAAAAGATAAAAGATAAAGAGAAAAGAGAAAAGAGAAGGAGAAAGGAGAAAGGAGAAAGGAGAAAGGAGAAACGATAAAGAGAAAGAGAACGAGGAAGCGGAGGAAAAGGAAGAGGACGAGGACCTGCGCCTGCACCTCCCCTGCTGGCCTGCCCGCCCCGCTCTTAGCCGTAAGCTTTGAAATACCACGAAAAAAATGAGTTACCGGGGCGGCAGATGGACCACGAAAGTGAACAGCGATCCTTGCGTCACGCTATGTTCCTGCATTGTGGTGTTGTGGCCATTCGTCGCCCCGGTAACCCGTATTTTGGGGCTATTACTGGGGCGGGGCTCGTGGCCGACGGGGACGGGTGGCCCACATACTAGCGCAGAGAAATGTACCTCTCACTCCCTGGGAGGTCTTGGTCGAGGAGGCTGACCTTTCCGCTTTCCGATGGGGATTGACTAGCCTTTGTTGTCGTGGCTACTGGTGGTCTGCATGCACTACCGAAGAGAACCGGTTCCATGTGTCTAGCGCGGGATAGCCCCAAGGAAACCTCCTAATCTTTCTTAACCAACGCTTCTCCGTCACTTGCGTGTTCCTTCAATGAACCAACAACAAAAGCCAAATGCCGGCAGTAGTGAGGACAGCAGTTCAAGTAGGAAGCCCACCACAGCACACCACAGCAGTGTTGTCCGAACAGGAAAAGTTGCAGTGGCTTACTGAACATGGCTGAAGGAACTATGTGCATATACATTGACATGTGAATACAGCTGACCCAGCCTTCAGCCACCTCCATGCGACCATTGCCTCGCGTGGAAAATGTCCCCTGCGCGTTTGTCCGGCTTTCGTTTCCCCTTTTCACGTTTTTCAGTCCAAATAGGGAGGTTTATTTATTAGTCAAGACTCTACTTTATCATGACTTTGGCGCTCATTACTTGCCTGCATGACAAGACCACTCTTTCAGGGGGTGATCTGTGCCACTGTTTTACCTTCAAACCACCATCCAGCACCAGGATCTGTGCGACGAAAACCGCCAAACATGTTGAAAACTCCGTTCATCGGATCTTCCCAACAAGGGGCGCCGGGTCAGTTTCGAAGACTAGACGACGAGTGGCCCGAAAGCATTTTTCATCACGTAGGATGTCAGAGTGTGAGTTATCTGTTAAGTGTGCAGTGTGAAGTGTTAAGTCGAGGGACTTGAGGTAGTGTGTGGGTTTCTGTGTGTGTGTCTATGTCCGTGTGTATGTGAGTCTGTGTATGTGTGTGTTCGTGTAAGTTGAGGCAGTGCGTGGGTGTCTGCATGCGTGGGTGTCTGCATGCGTGCTGCAATCGGACTGCCCAGCTGCATTGTCGGCGATGGAAGCGTCATACAGGGTTGGCAGCAGAGAGGCAGCTGGAACGAACGCGAAACGAAACGAAGCGAAACGCGAAACGAAACGAAACGAAACGCGAAACGAAATACGAAACTAAACGAAACCAAACGAAACGTAGGTTTCCTGCTAGTAGCTTCTTGTTTACTAGTAGTAAGTAGTAAGGCCAGGAGCCCCTAGTAGCGTCCTTGCTCCTAGTAGCGACGCCCTTGGTTACTGGCAGCTTCTTGTTACTAGTAGTAAGGCCAGGAGCCCCTAGTAGCGTCCTTGCTCCTAGGAGCGATGCCCTTTGTTACTAGTAGCTTCTTCTTACTAGTCGCTTCTTGTTGCTAGTAGTACGGCCAGGAGCCCCTAGTAGCACACGATCAATGTATTGAATGTTTACAAATCTACGCTCCACTTGTGAACGTAGCCTGTAAGTCCAGTGGCAAGGTGGCGCGCGCTTCCGCAAGCGCTGAGGGAACTAAGGCTGTATCACAGGATCTCGAGGCACTTTTTGCCACATGGGTGCTTTGACTTTGATTTAGCATCAGGCAGTTGGGCCGCAGTCGAGAACGTTGGCGTGCGGATTCGATCAGCGGCCTTACTACTCCTCGCAGACAGACCAAGGAGCTTGCGTCAAAAATAGAACTCTCTTTGTTACTACTAGTAGCGATGCACTTGTTCCTAGTAGCTTCTTGTTACTACTAGTAACCCTGGGAGTCAAAGACTATAAAAAGAATGGTCTTTAGGGGAACTGAAAGGGAACTTCCTTTACTTCAGCCGGTCAAAATATAGTCTTTGGACTTCTAGGGGTAAGGCACTTGTTACTAGTAGCGATGTATTTGTTCCTAGTAGCTTGTACTTGCCCACTCCCCAGCCACTCTGCGTACTAAAGTTGTACTACCAAGTCGCCAGTTCTCATCTTC